TTTGAGGATACCTGTCATATGGGATTAGGCCCAGTCTAATGACCTCATTTTTTGTTTTGTTTTTTTTTTAACATCTTTATTGGAGTATAATTGCTTTACAGTGGTGTGTTAATTTCTGCTGTATGACAAAGTGAATCAGCTATACGTATACATATAGCCCCATATCCCCACCCTCTTGCTTCTCCCTCCCACCCTCCCGAGCCACCCCTCTAGGTTCTCACAAAGCACTGAGCTGATCTCCCTGTGCTATGCAACTGCTTCCCATTAGCTATCTGTTTCACATTTGGTAGTGTATATATGTCCATGTCACTCTCTCACTTCATTCCAGCTTACCCTTCCCTCTCCCTGTGTCCTCACGTCCATTCTCTACGTCTGCATCTTTATTCCTGTCCTGCCCTCTAGGTTCTTCAGAACCATTTTTTTTTATTCCATATATATGTGTTAGCGTACGGTATTTGTTTTTCTCTTTCTGACTTACTTCACTCTGTTTGACAGTCTCTAGATCCATCCACGTCTCAACAAATGACACAGTTTCGTTCGTTTTTATGGCTGAGTAATATTCCATTGTATATATGTGCCACATCTTCTTTATCCATTCATCTGTTGATGGACATTTAGGTTGCTTCCATGTCCTGGCTATTGTAAATAGTGCTGCAATGAACATTGTGGTACATGTCTCTTTCTGAATTATGGTTTTCTCAGGGTATATGCCCAGTAGTGGGATTGTTGTAATGACCTCATCTTAACTCGAGTACATCTGCAAAGGCCCTATTTCCCAATAAGTTCCCCTCGCAGGTACTGGGGATGAGGGTTTCAGCATATCTTTTGGGGGGCATAATTTAACCCCTAGCAAATATGACACGAGGTGTCACCTGCATATGAAGTGCCTGACCCAGTGTAGGTGCTCAATGCCAAGGGGCTATTATTACTGTGTATCCAAGATCTACCTTCCCCCACATTTTAATATTCCGGAATCTGTGTATGTCTTATTATCTACTCATACATTGCTTGACGGATTTTTTCTTTTTCCGTTTAAAATATGTTGTGAAATGTATGATCTATCTCACATCTGTGCAAACATGGTATAACTTGTTCAAGAAGCCTCGGCGTGTCCATGCCCTGCGAGAATGTGGTGCGGCTGCCCACAGATCTTGCCTGCAGCTTCTGGAATCTTAGGAAGCAGAGATCATGATTCCGGCAGAGGTGGTGGACCCAGAGTGAGGCCTGGGAGGAGGGGCAACTGCTTGGTAGCGGGGCTCTTGGGTGTGTCGGGCTCCCGAATTCATTTCCTGGACACTTGCTGAGCACCTATGGCATACCGCGCTCCAGGGGTGCAGGCGGTAGCAGGAAGCCCAAGGGCCTCCTGAGCTGAGTCCGCAGGACACAGAGGCCCGGGAAAGCCCTCTCCTGCTGACTGCAGGGAGGCCAGGGCAGGATGGGGTGCAGTCCATGGGGCTGGAGCAAACATTTTAGGTGGTGGAAGGATCCCAGTGTAGACCAGAGACTGTGACAAAGCAATCTAGCTGTCTGAGAAATGTATGGAGCTGCCTCACTGAGATGTCGCTTCGCAGAGGCCCAGAGCCTCCCTCTCCACCTGGGAAGCCTTCCTGGAGCCCATGGCGGCAAGAGAGGTCCAGAGTGGAAGCACAGGGACATCCTGGTGGCTCTAGACTCCCAGACAGACACCGCCCGCCCATCGGCCTGCCAACAGGAAGTGGCCCGTGTTCCCTTCCTCCTGGGAAGCTTGCTCCAGGAGAGGCGCTCATCCACCCGCTCCCAGGTCCCAGTGACAAGATGGCCAGTGGGGCCTTGAGACGCCCCTGTCTCCCTCTTGTCTCAGCAGCTGTAGTTTGCAAGTCCCGAGGGAAGCCTCCCCAGTGAGGGGTGGCCCCTTCTGGGCTCTGGAGGAAGATGGGGGCAGCTGCAATCCAAGCAGAACCAAAGATCCTCCTGCCTCAGTCCCTTCCACTGCACCCCAGCCCCTCCCCCAGCTCCTTGGGCCCCCAGACACAGCCCCTGTGTTCTGCCACACCCCCTGCCAGGCTCCAACCACCTGCCAGGGAGCTTTCAGGACCAGAAAGACGGCACACTTAGCAAGTGAGGCTAAAGTAGCCAGAAACAAGGGCCCTCTAAGGAAGCGCTGGGGGGAGGCACCTTGTAAGTGGAGTCTTGGGAACTCCAGGGACTCCAGGGATTTTCTCAGTGGTGGCATTACGGGTGTAGCCTTTCAGGAGCTCAGAGTGGAGACTTTCAGGTCCAGAGAGGGTCAGCCTGTAGCCACAGGCTCCCGGCTGAAGAAGCTGTCAAGCTGGTCCCCCAGGAACCCTAGGATAGGCCCCCTGGCATGGCCAGGGATTGGCTCCCAGCTGTCCCTCCCTCCAGTGAAGCGGCGGTGAAGCTGGTCTAAGTCCTCTAATTCCATGCCCCCTCCATTCTGCTGCTGCAGTGGCCCGGGGGCGGAGCCCTGGCAGCGCGGAGCCCTGGGCCCCAGCCACTTCCTCCCCTGACCCAGTTCCTCCATGACCAGACTGTCTGAAGGCACCAGAATTCTCTCCTTTCAGGGCCCTGCTCTTCAGAAGCCCACCCTCCACCCCATCACATTGGAGTCAATATGAATGTTGAATTGGACAAGCCACCAACTGCTTTCTGGCTTATCTGGGGCTCGTGCCTTTTCAATCCAGAGCCATTTTATGCCTTTGTGTGAAGATTGTCGGGAATCTCTAAGTAAGGTGGCCCTGAAATTTGGTGGCCAGTCCGGGTTAGCTAGAGATGATGAGGGTGTCATCCTATGCATGGCTCTGGGTCTTTCCTCAATGTTCAGGTCCCTCATGGGTCTGTCCACACAGGCCAGGGAAGCTTTGGGCCACTGCCCAGGGTGGTACATTGAGCAAGGGGTCTGAGGCGGGCAGCAGATGGGCAGCGGGGTCTTTTGTACTTGTTGGAGAGAGGACAAGAGGGAAGCCTGGATGTTCTGATTCTTATTTCCATGGGAGCACCAGGAGAGGACATGGCTGGGCCGCCAGTAAAGTTGAGGCAGTCTAGGTTCATCCACTTCTCAAAGGTTGAGGATGGGAAGCCTTGGGTCGTCCAATTCTTCCCATATGTCCTCGTGGACAGGCCTCTATGCTCCCTTGGCAATTTGCCTTGTCAGAGAAAAACAATACATTGACAGTTGGCCTGGTCATCTGTCCATGTCCATGTTGAGGGGGTACTGCGGGCTTGCAGAGCAGTGGGTCAGCTCTGGGACCCCCTAGGACCTCACCAAAGTAGTGCCTGCCCTTGAGGCTCCGGACCCTGAGCAGCCCGCCTGGTCTCTGCCTGTGAAGTTCTTGAAAGGGCAACAGTGTCTGTTATTCAAGTGTCTGAACTGACAAACAATCTCACTCTTAATGCCTATTTGGGGTGAGGCCACCAGTAATTAAGGTGGTGCTGGCCAATCTGGTCACTGGCAAGTACCTCTTTTTTGCAGAGTATGGGATGCAGGTTCGGCAGGACGCCAAGTCCTACATCCTTAGTAGCTGGGCAGCTCAGGGCACATTATACAAGCTTCTCTGTGCCTCAGCTTTCTCTTCTGTATTTATATGTTCATTGGGAACCTCCTCAGGGGTACACACCAGACTCCACTTGGAGGACGGGCAGGGGAGCTAGACCAAAACTCTGGGACAGGGTTCTGGTGCTTCAGCAGCTAACAAACTTGATTCAGGTTACTCATCCTTAGAAACAGCTCATATAATAATACCCACTCCCCGGTGGGTTTGGGAAACCTAATTACTACTTGTGAAATGTTTGCAAGTTCACAGAGGAAAGGTGATACCATCATGGCAAAGTATGACTACCATAATCGTGATCTTCTCAAGCTGCCCCCAGGGCTAAGTCCTATCAAATTGCCGTTTGTGAAATTCTGCTATTGTTACAAAGTGCAGCTGTTATCCATGATGATACAGACTAATGTCTAAGGTATTGCTGTGCTCATGGAAAACTCTTAAATCAGCCGAAGTGAAGAAGGTAGACCAGGCCACCTGCCGTGAGCTTGTCCTGCTCTCTAATTCCAAAAGTAAACAGAATCCTTGAGGAGGTAGGCCCCTGAAGAAGCACCAGATAGCAACAGCATTCTCTGAGCACCTAGTGTGCACCAGGCAGTGTGTTATGCACGCTAGCTCATTGAATCTTCCCAACAAGTTTAGGAAGTAGATTTTATCATCTCCATTTTGCAGAGGAGAAAAAATGAGGCTCAAAGATGTTGACTTGCCCACAGAAAATGAACCTTGCAGTTATAAATAGCATGGCTTAGAGTGGAGAAAGAGCTGGGCCGGGTGGGAGGTGACCAGAGAGTCTGGGCAGGAGGCAAGGAGTCTCTGAACTAGGTTAGCAAAGCGAGGATGGCTTCCACATTTCCAGTTTGGGCACCTCTACCCTCACCCCCGCCAACCCAGTGAACAGGTCCGCTGCCAACGGAGAGAGGCAACCGAGGAGGGGAAGGCGGTAGGGAGGGCAGATGACTGGTGCAGGGTAGCCTGAGCTTGGGACTGCCAGCATATCTCCACGCGCTGGCCTGGGCCTTGGGAGGGAAGTTGAGACGCAGTCACTGACAGATTTGACAGGTGAAGGCCTGGGAGGAGATGGCCAAAATGCAACGTGTCACTCGGGGCCACTAGCCCCAAGGCTCAGTTCTCGCTGGAGGAAACCTCCAGAAGGCAGCGCGGGCCAAGGTGACAGGTGTCCGCGAAGACCTCCCCGCGGGACTCGCCGGCGGCGCGCTCGCTCCCCGCAGGCCTGCGCCGAGTCAGCGATCCCGCTCGGCTCTCCGCGCCCTCCCCCGGGTTCCCGGTCCCCCCAGCCTCCGTCGCCCCCGCCCCCTCCTCCTCCGGGCGCGGAGCCGAGGGCCGAGGCCTCCGCGCACTGTGAGCCGGGAAAGCGGCACTGCTCGGGCCTGCCGGGCGGGGCTCGGGGCGCATGCGCGGCGGCCTACGGAAGCCCGGAAGGAGGGGTGGGAGGTGCGGCTCAGGTTTCTCAGGGCGGTGGCGGCGGCGGCGGCGGCGTCGGCGACTGGGACGCGGCTCGCGCTGGCACCATGAACCCGCTGTAACGTGCAGGCTGCGCGGCGCGGGGGGCGGGGGGAGGAGGAGGAGGAGGACGGCGCGGTGAAGTTCTCCGCCATGAACCTGAGGGGCCTCTTCCAGGACTTCAACCCGAGGTGAGGCGCCGCCCGCACGGCTCGGGGAGGCACGGCGTCCGTGATGCTGTGGCGGGCGGCGGGGCCTGCCCGAGCCTCCCCGGAAAACCAATCGGCCTCGGCGCCGGCCCGCTGCCTCCTTCCGCGCCCGCTGCCTTCAGCCCCCGGCCCGCCGCCCCATCTAGAACCTCCCGGCCGCGGTCCCCGCCCCGCGGGAACCCCGCGCCTCTCCGCTTGCCCTCCCTCCCTCGTCGCTGTCCCAACTTCCCTCTCTCCGCTCCATCTTCTGGCACCCGCTGCCTGCCATGCGTCCCCCGCGCCAGGGCCGGTTCACTTGACTCGACACCCCTACCCACCACCCCAGCTGTTTCCTACAGTTCCTCCAAGCCCTTGAGATTTCCCTTGGACGTATGCCCATCCCTTGCTTGTTTGCTTCTTTGTGGAACTGATGTCTGAAACACTGTTGAATCCTTGGAGTCCGTGTCAGGGTATGGCAGGACCTTACATAACGCTTTTGGGGGGTAAACCCGACAATTTTCCGTACACGTTTTCTCTTCAGTCTTGACTATAAGTTTACTTGCAGGAAACAGATATTGCTGTCCTGTTTCCCAGATGGGGACTGGCCAGTGGACTGGAGGGAAGGAACACTGGCTAAGGAATCGAGCGTCTGTCCTTGGACTTGACCAAGTGTTCTGTAACTCTCTTACCTCCCCAGGCTGTGAACTCCCTAAAGCAGAGACCGTCTCCTGCTCAAATCTCTATTCCCCGCAGCTCCCACTGTGTCTGACACATAGTAGGCACTTATCAAATGTTTGTGGAACTAAACTGAACCTAAAGACCTGGATTGGAGAGCAGGCCGTATGTAACTGGGGGATCCTCTGCTCATCTGAAAAGTAAGGAGTTGGCCTAGCTGATCTCCGAAGTCCACTGCTCTGTGAAGGGAGTGCCTAGCTCCCTTATTTGGTGGTGGAAGGCACGCACTCAGTAAACCTTTCCTATGCCAGGTCCCATGCCGTCTGCTTCAGCTGCTGAGAGGGCCCAGCGCGCGGGTGGAGAAGGGCAGGCCAGTACATGATTGACGGCACAGTGTGCAGTGTTGTGCTGTGGGAGCCCAGTGGAGACCACCTTCCAGGCCGCTTGTGGGGCGTGTCTTGGGAGAGAGAGAGGATGAGTGTGTGTGTGTGTGTGTGTGTGTGTGTTGGGAGTGCAGTCTCCTTAGGGACGCTGACATTTTAAGGTTCGAGCCATTGTGACTTACTGGGTGCTCTTATTGCTCTTTGAGCACTACCGAGTTCATGTTCTGTTTAGTCTGGAGGGCCAGTGTCCCCATCACAGTGCAGTCATTATCACTGTTGGCCTTGAAGGCGCTCTGCATAGAGGAGCTTGTTGAGAGCAGGTAACTGAGAACTGACTGCAGCGCCTTCCTCTGCTGTTCCTAGGGGTTAGGATTGGTCTCCAGGGTAGCAGGGCTGGTGCCGGAGTTGGATAGGCCTTGTGTATCTACATTGTTTGACGATGGTGATAAGAAAGATAAGTAAAAGCTGAATTGTTTTGTGTCCTTGGGCCGCTCACTTACCTGTCTGTTTTATAGGCAGAATGAGTATAATCTCTCAGCAGGATAGAGAGGCCAAATTAATGATTGATTGCAAAGCGCTTTACAAATAGAAAGTTCCAGGACAACTTTGCAAGGTGACAGATCATTCGGAAGCCACAAAGAGCTGCCTGGAGTGATGGAACTGGCTAACACTTGCTGAAACAAAATAGTGCTGCCCAGATAGCATCCTTAACCATTTTTTCCTGTAGTAGCTTCTTTCTGCCCCCGCCCCCGGAAATTGGCACAGGAAAATGACAATTAAATACCAGGTATCTAAACAGGTTTATAGTCAACATCAACGTACTTATCAACCCTTTTAACTCTATTGGGATTGAGATGCACATCTCCCTGAAAAGTTTGAAGGTCTTTTATAGGATGCCATTTTCGTTTTCATTTTCCTGATGCCGTGTTGAGTCAGTGGGAGAGAGCCATGTTTCCTCACAGTGGGGACTCCTGAGACGGTGGCCAGCTGATGTCGGCAGGTGCCACTTCTCAGCTGGTGGTGTGTCATGTCTCGTGGGCACACCTCGTTTTCGACATTGTTCTTTAGTTTTTGCTCCATGCTGAGGAGGACCTTCCAGACAGCTCGAAGAGCAAAACTGAGGGCTGGAGACAGGAGGAAACCTTGTGCCAGGGCCTCAAACCTTGGTGCTGCTTCCTCGCTCCCCGCCTGGAATCCAGAGCCAGTTCAACACCTCCCTCCTAGCCCAGCACATTAGCACATACTGTTCTCTTTGCCGGGAGTTTTTCCCTCTCTCTCCTCCTCTCCTCCTTACCTTGTTAGCTTCTGTTTCTCCTTGAGATCTCAGCTCACTTGTTGCTTGCCGAGGGCAGCTTTTCTGACTTCCCCGCCCAGCGCACTGCGCCCTGTTTGTACAGTCTGTGTAGTGTGCTGTGTTCCTCCATCATACACTCATCTGTACCCTTGTTTGACTAATGCCTGTCTCCCCTATGAAACTCTAAGCTCCATGGGGGCAGGGCCATGACTCTGCGTGTTATGGTACCCTGCATACCTGGAATAGTACCTGGCTCAAAAAGTATTTGCGGGATGGATGGAAGAATGAATGAATGAACGAACGAACGACTCACTCTCCCGAGTCACTGCCTTCCTCATGGTCTGCGGCCTGGTTCTCTTTCCTCTCACCTTCTTCCCTCCTTCAGGATGCAGCCATTCCATTGGAGAGCTGGGAACACCACGACACTAAGCAGACCATGGCTGCCTTGACTCTGTGGATTGTGTATGTCACAGGAATAGTCACTGTCATGGTTTGGTGGGCCCCAAGGCATGGGCCATGGCTTCAGATCTCCTTTCCAACCTTTTGATCTTGGGAGTCTGAATCCGCTGCTGTATTGCCAAGGCTCTGGAAAACTACACTGACAGAGAATGATTCACAGCTGTCAACACTCAGATGCCTATTTCCATCTGGCTCAGAACTGGTTGATCATAAGCTTCTTTTTAGTTACATAGGTTAAGGCTTGCTGAAACAGACACCCCGGACCCACCAAGTCCTTCCCTGAATGCCCAAGGCTTCCTAACAGCTAGGGAGCCCTATTTATTGAATAGGCAAACTCCTAGAAGTATACGGAATTGACAAACTTGGATCGTGAGGTGTTCCTGGGAGCTAGAGATCTGGGAGTAGGTGGCATTAAGCCGGCACCCTGTCCGCACCACGGAGCCTTGGGATTCTCTGCTTCCTTGTGCAGTTGCTGGCTCAGAGAAGGCCCTTCAGCCCTGGTAGCCAGGCAGTGCTCGAAGGCTGTGAGAACTCTGCTAGAACTTCTGAGTCAGCCGCAGTGAGCTCCAGATGGAGTGTGGTGCATCCCGCAGGTGTCCTGGACTGGGACAAAGGCTGAGGAGCGCTGCTCTGAGCATTCCGTCGTGTGGGGATGGAGCCCTGAGGTCAGTAGCATTTAGAAGCTTCCATATGCTGCAACATGTAAAGCCATTCTGGAGTCCGTGTGAGTGATCTTGTCTCTTATTTGAAGTCTGGAAACATGAATGTGATTGTGGGTAATTAACAACAGGCAGCTACCTGACCTTTAAGAGGCATTTGTAAAGTATATGTAAAGCATTACTTCATCACACATCCCCCTGGTTCCTACTGTGTGCCAGAGATGTGCCGGGTGCCCAAAGTACAAGAGTGAATGGGACGTGGTCCCTCCCCGCTCGAGCCCGGTGGAAGAAGCAGAAATAGAAACATTAAAATTCAACACGGGACAAGGCGTTCCAGGCACAAGAACCAAAGAACCCAGTGCTGCAGGAACACAAGGGGCAGAGCCACTAATTCTGTCTAGCGTGGACAGGGAAGGTTCCACAGCTCGATTCTGAAGGATATAGTTATAGGCTTTTGTCAGACAAGAGGGCAGGAAAGACATCTTAGAAGGGACAAAGTATGCAGAGGCGCGGGGTCATGGGAGGGCCTGGTGTGTTAAGACAGTGCTGAAAGGTCAGTGTGGTAGGGGCATTGCGGGCAACGCTTGTCACGTGACTTAAAAATACTACACGTAGTGTTAACAATTACTGTAAATGTTTTTGACACATTACTGTTTTTTTTTTAAAGCAGCCTCCAGATCCATCAATAGTGAGTGTATGTTGGTACTGTTAATGAACTCTTCACCACCCAACTGTCTGTTTATCTGTCATTCTGTCACCTCAAACTACCTATAGTAAGAAAAGCTTGTTGATTATACTGAGGCTATTAATAATAGCTGTGACTTCCGGGACACCTACCACGTGCCAGGCACAGTATCACTGCTCTGCACCCATTATCTTGAACCTTCACAACAGCCCTCTGAGTTCGATATCAGCCTTGTTTTGCAGAGTCTTAGCTTGTGAATTCCCTGAAGTCACATAGGCGGTGAGGGGCCAAGTCAGGAGTCGAACAAGTTGGTTTCCTTCTGCAACCTGTGCTCTTTCCGGTATTCATATGCCCCCCTTCTGATTTAGTAGCATCTGCCCACCCCAGCCGTGGTATAGGAGGCCCGATATACTAAGGAGCCTTCTGTTTATGAGTTGTGATTAAGCAAAGCAAACCTTGTATTCGAGCTTACGCATCTAAATGAGTATTATCTTTCAAAGAAGTTACTTAGGGAAAAGGTAAATATATACCTACTCCATTGCTCATACCCCTTGTTACTCATTTGAAATTTCCTTGGAAGCAAATCCTGTAAGAAAATCCATCTCATTGCTTTATAATCATATATCATTTTTTAACCAAAATAGTGCTGCCTAGTTTGATCACACATCCTATCCACTAAACTTGGCTCTGACTGACTTTTGGCCGTTTCCAAAAATCCACTCTCAGTCAAGATTTGGCACCACTGGGGGTATTCAAAAAACGGACTGCAGGCTCTCAAGGCGATTCCAGGAGGAAAGCTCCAAAGATGGTTTGAGCAAGGAAGTGGAATTAGTGCATTGCCTCCCAGG